GTAAAAATGCGAGTACATGCATTGTTCCATCTGTCAAGCTAAAATATATACATATATCTTAGCTCTTAGCTTGACATGCTAACTGAACGAGCATGTTCAGTTAGCATATATGCTAACTGAACGTCGAGCATGTCAAGCTAAGAGCTAAGATATATATATATATATATATATATATATATATATTTATATGTATTCCATTCCTTTACATTTAATATTTAAAATACAAATTAGCTAAATAAACACAATTACACTGCGCTAAACAGCCACATCGACAAACAAACGAGAACCTAAATAGTATGTAATTATATCTAAAACCACAATACGTTAATTACCTGTACTCGGTGCGCCATATTGTTTGTCTGTTCTCTGAACCTCATGTCTCTTTAAATATCCTTGCATCAGCGTCAGTGTCGTCAATTCGCTTTTAATCTGCCATGTATGGTAATGTCTCTCAGCCACCGTAGTGTCGTGTCAGGTGGGCGTGTCGTGTAGTGGGCGTGTCGTGTAGTGTCGTGTACTGGCCGCGGCCGCAGCTAGACCCTTCTCGGCAGCCTTGAGAGCGAGGCGGAGCAGTTTCTCTCCACGAGCTGCAGAAGCGAAATGCTTGATGGGAAACGACCAAGCCCCCAGGAAGTGCGCCGGACTCTGTGGCCGTTTCTCAATGTCGAGTAAACCTGCTGCAGAGCCACTATTTCAAGTATACTACGTCATCGAGTGACACCGAAGGACTGTTTAAATGCATGTTAAATGCCTAGCATTCGGCGCCACTCGATGACGTAGTAGGCTTCTCAATTCTCTAATTTCCCCTCCTCGACTCCTATCCTCGTGACTTAGTCCCGCCCACAGGAGATGCGAGCGGAGGAGTCGAGGAGGGGAACCGAGGAGAGAGGAGTGGAAGCAGCAGGCGGTTAGAGAAGTGAGAACTCCTCTCCTCTGAGCGGTCATTTCAAAGAGACGTCCATTAATGATGACAGGAGGCACAGCAGCACACTGGGTGTTTCTCAATCGCGAGTAAAGCTGCTTCAGAGCCACTATTTCAAGCATACTACGTCATTGAGTGCCGCCGAAGTACTGTTCCAATCTCCAGCATACTTGGAAATCTACCGAGCCCGGCGTACTCCGTTCGGAGAAATATCGAGGCTGCACATGAGTAGACTCCGCGGTCTTAAAATCCCCACAATGCTTTGCGCACGGACCAATTTCCCCAAATCTGTGGCGGAAGATGTAAGGTGGGGCCTCTCATATGACGCACACCTGCACACTTGCTAGCGTGTTCCACACTTTGTTTTCCGAATGCCAGGAAGTATTCTTGACTCGCTTCTGAAGCAAGATGCTCGGCAGACATGTGCTACCAAGCAAGTGTACTCGCGATTGAGAAACACCCTCTGTCTGATGGACAGATGTGTTCATGACGACTTGTATATTTACTTTTAATTAATTCACAGTGCGGTATAATGAGACAATAACAGGCTACAGATGCGGACATATACACAAACACATATTTATATAAATATACATTTTCAGAATCAAACAAGTATGAGAGCACTCTCATAATAACGTAACACAATCAGAGACTGGATATATCCCCCCCCCCTCTCTCTGGTCGCTGAAATGGGGAATTGAAATGACGGACTAAAAGTTGTATTTACAAGTATTAAAAGTAAGCATAGGACACCAAACCAACTGAGACCCGTCTGTCCGTCGCATCTACGCACTGTACCACACATGCACCTACACACTGTACCACACACGCACCTACACACTGTACAACACGCACCTACAGCTCCTAAAGCATATAATATAATCAGGCTACAGCCGTTGTGTATTTTATTATGTGAAGCACTAAATGGTCTTAGAAAAATATGGACTCTTTGTTTGTAGATATCTACTAAACTACAGCAAACAAATACAGAGAGTAATGTAGGCCTGTTATACTGAGTGATATATATTATACACACTGCTCTGCTTTCTGCACGGACCTCACAGCTGTTCTCACTGTAAACATTGCGTCACGATGAAAGCAGTTACTAAAATAATATCCAGGGGATGCATGCAGAGCTGTCATTGGCTGAGATAAGTCCGGCCGTGCGTCACGCCTCCACCGTTCCCGGAAATGCATCCGCGGAGAAGCCGTGGAGGAACCATCAGTGTCTCCTCGGTTATAGCTCCTCCAGAGAGCCTCCTCGATGCTCGATGCTCAGTCCTCGATGTGCATTTAGAGAAATTAGATGTCCTTCAACATGGCACGCTGAAATCCATTTCCGGGTCACTACCGGAGGACTGAGGAGTCGAGGAGGGGAAATTAGAGAATTGAGAAGCCTTTATTGAGAAACGGCCTCTGCCAATATTTGTTGTGTCCAAACGGCGGTACTGCAATTTCCGTATCAGTCAGTGACGTCACCCGGCCCAAAACAACTTCTTCCCATTGACTAACATGGGGAAAGAGACGTCTGTAAATCGGTGGAATTTTTTTTTTTAACTAAATAAACTACCCAGTATGAACTATATTATAGCCCTTATTAGAATCATTCGGTCCTTAAAGTTGTAAAATGCACTAAAAGCCGAATCTAGATTTATTTTCTCTCTCCATTCATTCTAGTGAGCCGAGAGTGGGAGATCGGGGGGCGGGGCTTAACCTGTTAAGCCCCAAGCCTGTTTTCCAGGTCTCAGGCTCGAAAATGACATTCCCAGAACAAATGACCATAACTTCACTTCTAAAAGGGGTAAATTACTCTGTACCTGTAATCTGTGCAATAACAATAAAGTTGAATCTAATCTAGAGCAGGAACAAATGTATTTACTTGGTACATATCTGACATTAACGATTAAACACATTTGTGCATTCTTTATGAATGCAAACCGAGTCAAGCCGACTCTGGAGACACCTCTGGAGATCAGAAGAGAGAAACTTGCTCTGTCATACTGGGTCAGACTACAAGGAAGTGGAGAGGAAAATATCACAAACAGAATACTACAGGATTGCTGGGAATATGCAAAGTTCCAGGGGCGTGGGTTTGGCTGGACAAGTAAGGAGAGAATGAGGGCATATGGAGTGGAGACCATCACGTTTGCCAAAGCAACCCCATTTAGCTGTGTTCCCCCATGGCTTTCCCCAGAAGCTAACATAGATGTGAGTATCATATAAAGGAAAAAAGAGTGGCAAATAAATGAAGTGGGAATTAAAACGAGTATGTACCTGAACGAAAAGTATTACAATTGCCTCAAAACGTATACAGATGGATCTAAGAAGCAAGAATGCGTGGGGATAGGCGTGTATATACCAGAATTCAAAATATCAATCTCAAAACGAGTGTCACATAACTTATCAGTTTATACAGCATAAATACTAGCAGCAATTATTGGGCTACAATGGGTTGAAGAGGTCAGACCTGATAGGGTGGTGATATGCACAGACTCACTATCTGCTTTGAAAAGCATACAGTCGACAATAACTATTAGAGAAGATTTAATCATTGAACTTAACCATTGCTTATTGAGACTTCAGAGAAGGGGAATAGATGTGCAGTTATGCTGGGTGCCTGCACATGAGGGGGTTCAAGGGAATGAGCATGCTGATAAGTTAGCAAAAGATGCATTACAGAAGGAAATAGCAATACCAGTTTCACTTGGAAAAGGAGAAGGAAAAGCAATAATTAAGAAGAAGGGTATGGAAATATGGCAGAAAAGGTGGGAGGAAGATCAGAAAGGGAGGAGATACCACAAGTTACAGAAATCAGTCATAACAAAGATCTATACAGAAAGGAACAGACGGGAGGAGATCATCATCACTAGACTCAGACTGGATCATACAGGATTAAACGGCACGATGTTTATAATGGTAAAAAGCGAAGTTGAAGAATGCAGGGGGTGTGGAGTGAAAGAAAATGTGGAACACATCATGTGACACTGCAACATGTACAAAACAGAGAGGGAAAACTAAGAGACATGGTCAGAGAGGCAGGAAGGGAGTGGAGCCTGATGGGGATACTGGGAACAGAAGGTGAGGGGGTAAGAGCTACCAGAAAGGCCATTCTTAAAGGGGACCTATCATGCAAAATGCACTTTGTGATGTCTTTTTATACATAAATATGTGTCCCCGGTGCGTCGGGGAACTCACGCAGCGTCAGAAAATAAAACCCTCTCTCTTTTCCTCCGTACCCAAATCTTTTTAAAACGGGTGTACAACGAGCGGATACAGATTCCATCCGATCTGACGTCAAATCGGCGGCGGACCCACAGAAATTTGCTATCAGAAACAATGCCTGACGTGTTTTGGACGTCTTTGTTTACATTAGCAAGCCTCGCTAACACTCAGAGCTAACCTGTATTGAAGAGCACATGAGTTTAAAAAGCAGGAAATAAAAAAAGGAACTCACCTTGTGATAAACCTACAAGAGAAAAAGCATTTGAGCTCCATACTATTTCAGAAATAATCCTTGACGTGGTTTAAACAGGATGGCGAAATATCACAACTGAATTTAACTTTATCTCCAGTAGAATTCTGATCAGGCATTAGCTCCGCCTTCTCTTATTTATTTATTTCAAGCTAAGGACCCAAAATCTGCGTTTCTCTAACAGGGCTTCAAAAGAGGGGTTTGAGCAATATGAGGCATGGCTACAATGGGTGATCTGTTTTGTATTTTGAAAAAAAAACTTCACAGACATGTTTTATATAGGTATGGCCCTACAATATATTTTTCCAATATAGCATGATAGGTCCACTTTAAGTATTTGAGTGAAACAGGATTGATTGGAAGAATTTAAAACAAAGTACGTGGTATAATTCCACAAGTGGTGATAGGATGATGTGGTGATACACACTCTTGTACAGTAGGTGGCGGTATGCACCTTAAAGTTGTTTGCAATCCGCCAAAAACCGAGAGAAGAAGAAGAAGCTGTCCGACTTCAGGCGAGCTTTTTGAGACCTCCCCCGGCTGCAATCGGCTATTCTAGTCTACTTTCAGGGCGAGCCGCAGCTCATCTCAAACAAGCCTATTGACTTTATTGGGATATATAAAGCCAATGAAGTATGTGGTCGTTTAAGAGTTGCACTGTTATTGGTGGCTTCCCAGCCCCTTCACACGTCTATTGGTTATATTTGGCCAATCACCGTTTACAACTATTTCATGTTGATGGAACTGCTGTGGTCCAATGAATGCGTCGGCGGAATATCTGTGATTGGTCCAATGTACGGTTGTGGGCGGGATGTGTTGATGTTTTGTGATGGGAGAGAAAATGGCGCCGGTTCGGAAACCGTATTAACTTTATAACATACTAGTAATAACAGCTGCAATCACGTATGCCCCTTTTTGTCTCAATGCATTAGAACGATGTATATGTTACTATTTTAATACGACTTCAGGCCATGTTGAATTTGCTGTCGACATCAGCAGGACTTACATTAGCTGGACACGACTTGGAATTGTGAAGGCAAGGAACAAAGCTCGAGTATTCAGACTAACTTGATTTTATGATAAAGAACATTTTATGTCAATGATCCTTTCCATTCAGTGCTGGGACGCTACTGAAATGTGCCTCTTTAAATTAGCCGGGCTGCGTAATGCTTCCCATATCCAGCCGGAATTGTTTTAGTGTGGGGAAACGTAAACGTTAGACAAGCTGCGATTAACGTCACCGTTAGAGGAATTTGAAGGCTCTTCTAAGACAACTAAATAGCTTATTATCATCTCAACAAGTAGAATAATCACAAGTTATTCACTTTGTTTGTTACTTAAGCTAAGTTGGCTGACCATTGTTGTGAACACATGCTGTCCAGCTGCTTGCTTTCTCTCCCATGGAGCCGCGCGGCACGGCGGGAAGCTTGAGTCCGCTCGGCTCCTCCGATGGCTCTGCCTTAGCTTCGCGTTTGTTAGGACAGAGCAGCTATCCACTGATAATGGATGAATCCAAGCCAAGGTGCAGCAAAAGGCTGGTAAGTTCAATTGGATATGGCCACGTTGGATTTATAAATGAATGTTCAGTATGGGGGATGTGTGCTTTTGTTTACACTTTTTATTTACTGTATAGTATTACTACTCAGATACTCTACGTAAAAGTACTAATACCACATTTGAAACATACTCCTGTAGAAGTCCTGAGCTCAAAATGTGACTTAAGTTAAAGTACAGAAGTATTATCAGCTATGTACTCAAGTATCAAAATAATATTCATTTTGCAGAATGGCTGTTTTTAAAGTCTTGTATTATTATTAAAAAGAAGTCATTTCTAATGTTTTTATTATTATAAAATACATATACATGTAATAACATTTTCAATTTTGTAATTCGTCACTATGGAGCACATTTTAGATAGTACTGAGAACATAAGTTGTAGGCTACATGTATATCATATACATGTACTACTAGAGTAGAAGTAACAGGACAAAGGAAATATTGAAGTAAAGTACAAGTACCCAAATGTTATACTTAAGTAGCCTACAGTACTTGAGTAAATGTAATAACATGCCACCACTTTTGGCTGCTTAAAAAAAGTTCCTTCCAGAGTGTTTGGTGTTTTAAACCCCACAATGCCACTTAGTTTGTGTGGCTACACAGATGGACATAAACAAACTTTACAAATGGCTCCCATTGGGTGTGTGTATAGGTCTATCATGTTTTTAAGAATTGATTCAGAAAAAAACTCAGAGGATATGCATAGATGTGTCCAGGTGGAGTAAGAATGTGAAAGTGAAATATCTTTTGATTAATTATTAGATGAATAACGTATCAAAGATGGGGAGGAATTGTAACGTGTAAATAATCTTTTCAGAGCCCTACTGAAAAAATAGAACATTTGCTCATTGCAGATGTGTGTATTTTTTGGCCCATCAAAAGACAAGAAATGTGAAAATGATATTAACTTTAAAGGCGTGTTTTGATGGTGTCACCATTCTTTATGGTGTCCACCAGAGATTACAAGGACATGTTTTTTTTTAAATGTCAAATCTACTCCTATATTATTTCCCTGGAGGAAATTATATTAAGAAAACAAATACTTATTTAATCGAACCTCATAAATTGTTTGTTGTCGTGTGAAAAAAACGATGTGTGTGATGTTTCTATGTAAATAAACATCCGTTACATTCCAGTCCTTCTCAGACAAGTTCACACTATGCTGATAAAGCAAGTGTAGGAAGAGTTGAAAAGACAGAGGATGGTAGGGAGAGCCCGATCTGATCTGAGAGAAACATGTTCTCTGAGTAGGTCAGACCAGCCAACGTCCACAAACACACAGAGACTGGGTTGTGTCTCTTGTGAAGAAGTTGTGAGCTGATTAAAAAAAATTATAATAATTAAATATATAATTATTTTGTCAACTGAGTTAAAATAACTACGGCGTGCATGTATCATAATCATAATTCCTTTAAGTCCTGCGGTGGGAACATTTACCGCTTTACAGCAAAAGTGACATAGCAGTTAAAAAAGGCAATAAATAATAAAGGGTAACCTAACATGTTAAATATTTTGTATTGTTGACCTGATATCTGATTGCATGGTGGTAATTGAAAGTACTTGGTATGAAAGCGGCTCTTAGGACACATACAGATGTGTACTAAGAGAACACTGCAAACCTCAGATTATTGTGTTGTTGAATCCAGAAGCAAGTCAAGAGGTGGGGGCGATTGTATAATCCAGGGGGGAATTATCCCTGTATAATTGCCCCCCCTCAAAGAGAGCATGTGTTTGAATATATGAGGGTATACAGGTATTGCAGGATACCTTTTGTAGGAAAGTTGACAGTTATCCTACTGTATAAATGTGCTTATCTACGTTATTGGAAAACAGTATGACTGTGCCTTTGACCTCCTACATTAAGGGTTAATAATCATAGAACATCATTTAAAAGCTCACTGCTTAATATATAATAAGCAATGTTATTTTTCAATTTGTGGTTCATTTAACATGCTGATTACATGTTCTTACATGTTTTAGTTCCATAAAACATGGTTTATATGGGGCTTATAAACCTGTTTTTTAAATTTAAACTGTGGTCATGGTAACAGATTTATTTCTATTAAGAGTGTAATACTGTGATATTATTTTACCGACTAAACATAGACAAATGTGTTGTTATAGGTTTAATCTGATCCCGTTCAGGCCCGTGTTAAAGACAACCCAAAAAAAAGTCTGCTCTGTCAGCAATGCCGATTATTATATTTTCACCCTTCCCTCCATCTCCCTAGCGGGCCGGCACCCGGCGACGTTACCATGACGATGGCATCTCAGATGAGGAGATTGATGGAAGAAGGATGTTTGACCTGGAGGACAAGGTTCACAGTGAGAGGTTCGGCTCCGACCGGGTTCTGCGCATGGAGGGAAAAGGTACGACGACACAAGAAGCCACACAGATCTTTGAAGTGTACCAAAAACACTTTACTTTTCCTGCAGTACTTATTCATCTTTATTCCAAAAGGCAAAACAGTGACATAATAGACTATATTTAGCAAATGTCGGTAATGTGACTAGAGTTATTCCTCCTATTTGGTTAGTTGGGGTTTGTCCTTCTTCAGAACAGCTACCCAGGTGCAAAAGCAATTGCTAAATCTTTTCCAGCGAAAGTATTTGAACTGTCTCATGTAATATCTGGCCTAACCGAACAGATACAAACAGTTACGTGACGACACCAGTAGCAGTGTTAACTACATGTTTCCTTGTGATACAATATTATATACAATCTTTGGACAATGCTACAATAATTCGGCCTCCATGAACAAAAAACAGCCCAAAATTAATAATAGAGAGCAAACATTGGAACATTTCTCAGTCACACTTTGTTTTTTTGTATTCCTTAGACTTGACATACGAGTTCGTCCAGAGAGAGGGCCTGAGGGACCCAATCCTCTTTGAGAAGCCTGATGGACTGGGAATCAAGTAGGTCTTCCTCTTTACTTTACTTCATCTTTTTTATAACTTGCTTGTTTGTTCTTGTCTATTGAGGAGAGACATGAGACCTGTTGAGTAAACTCTTTTTGTTCTGTAGGATGCCTGATCCGGACTTCAGTGTCAATGATGTCAAGATGTTTGTTGGTAAGACTTCATTAATACCCTTTTCTTACTTTACAAGATACTACTACATGTATTGAGTTTAGTCATTGAATAATAACTTCCATGTGAGTGTTAGATTGTAATTTCAGTAATGCACTGACTGAATGATGAGAATTATTCTATTAATGTAATGAATCTAATGAATCTATGAGAGATTTCAAATGATTCAAATGACTATGATTTATTTTCTCTGACTAACCTTGAATATATCCCAAACTATGAAGTGTTACATTTACATTGACACGGAAATAAGTGGATCATCACATTCGAGAACCTGGATATATTTTTTTAGGGTTGAACTAAACACCTGTTCATCAGTCAGTCACAAAATGAACAATTCACTTAGTTCACTTGCCTGTGAGGCTAGATAAATGGCACACAATAGGCGCGTTCACACCGCAGTACTTTTCCCACTTTAGTTCCGATATAGTTCCGAAATGTCGCGTTCACACCAAAAAGAGCCGGAACTAAAATGAGTTCATGAGAACCTTTTTGCCCCCTTTTCCGTCAGTTTTCCGTCCCTGCTAGAGAGCAGGGACTTTCGTGGGAGAAAAAGGTTCCTATGTCTGATTGGCTGGGGGGATTGCAAACCAAAAAGCTCCCAAAAAGTTTTGTGAAGCCGCCATTTTATTATCCTCTTATTAGCATTAGCATTAGCCCAGCGCAGAAATGCAGAGAGACTAACTTATGGCAACACAAAAGAAAACATGTGAGCGGTGGAGATGAGGAGGTGTCGGCGTTCTGGCGATTTACTCGGAAGGCTTCAGTAGAAGCTGCTGGGAGTCCCAGCAGCTTCTACTGAAGCCAGTCCCCAACTCCGGGGACTTCCGGCCGGGGACTCCGGGTGGCCGTATACGCCGTGAACTAAGTTCTGATGAACCTTTGTGGGGAAAGTACTGCGGTGTGAAAGCGCCTATTAGTTTTTTAAATAAGGTACTAACTTTGCTAAACTGCCTGTAATTCCAGTGGAAACAAACCAGTGGCCACCTCTTGATGTACAAAAGGTTTCAAACAAGGTTTTGGATATAATGCCCTCTGCTTTTTACAAAATACAAATACAATATTTTTTACATCGTTCTTGCATCAAAGTATTTATTAAAAACCATGACTTCAAATGTGTTCCATCAGTTGCTGTTTGACATGATTTATTTGGCATGCTGGGAATAACCATTGCCCTAAATCCCTCTCAGGGAGCAGACGTATGATTGATGTGATGGACGTGAGCACTCAGAAAGGGACGGAGATGTCGATGGCCCAGTGGACACGCTACTACGAGACCCCCCCGTCTCAGAGAGAGAAGCTCTATAATGTCATCAGCCTGGAGTTCAGCCACACAAAGCTGGAGAACCTGGTCAGGAGACCCACCACGGTATGTTCATACACTTACCATATGTGTGTATTCTGCACACCTTTGTACTGATCAAATATGGATAAAGAATCAAACATTCAGCTGTCTTTGAACTTTCTTGCAAGAAAGGAAATATGACAGTCAGTCATACAGAGAGCAAACTGTCTGCAGAGTGAAAGACGCTGCGTTGTATATTTATTCAGAGAGAGGAGAAAGGGGGGGCTCAAGCTTGGCGATAATGAAAGGAGCATTCTGGCAGTAAGAGAGGCAGTATCAGGAAGCTCTCAGTTTAACAGGAGTTGAAGGTCGTACTGTTAGTGCACATAGAGTGTAACTAACAACATTGTAACACATATTCTTAATAAGGGCATTTCCAAAGCTAGGCAAAGATGTGAAAGCCAGTAAATAGAGATAAACATTAAAAATCACTAAGTGATATTGAAAGTGAGTGAGTGAGTAAAATACTTGTAATTTGTAAATATTAGTAAGTTTGATTTGTCTGTTATGTCAGAGAAATGTTACCATCTGTCTGTCCTGTGTTTGTGTGTGCAGGTAGATTTGATAGACTGGGTGGACAACATGTGGCCCCGTCACCTGAAGGAGAGACAGAGAGACTCAACCAACTCTATCACTGACATGCAGTACCCCAAGGTCCAGAAGTAAGCCTACCAGGTCCACTTTGCACAGAGCATCATAAACTACACAGGACAAATGACTACAAAATCAAACCAGTTATGTATCATATTTCTTTATTGCTGATGTGTGTGTGTCTCTGCAGATACTGTCTCATGAGTGTGGAGGGCTGCTACACTGACTTTCACATTGACTTTGGAGGGACCTCAGTGTGGTACCACATCCTCCGAGGAAGCAAGGTGGGGCCAGAGGGGGGTCAGCCACTGTCTTACAGCCTCAAATGTTCTAAATCAAGATTATCAAAGTGAGGATTTTAAACTAAAAACATGAAGGCTGTTCTTGTTTTTAGAAACGAGGCGTTAGATAAATAGTTTGAAATGTTCAGAAAGAACGCCTAGAATGGGGGGTCTCGTCTGAAATGACTTCTGCTTCCTCAGTAAGTGGCCTCGTGGTTAGAACTGCGGCTGTGTGTTTCAGGTGTTCTGGCTGATCCCTCCCACCCCTCAGAACCTGGAGCTCTATGAGAACTGGGTGCTGTCCGGGAAGCAGGGAGACATTTTCCTGGGAGACCGAGCATCTGACTGCCAGAGGGTTGAACTGAAGCAGGGCTGCACCTTCATCATCCCCTCAGGTAAACTGTCCCAGATAGCTTTTACCCCGTTGAGCTTCTATTTTGATATTCAAAGCTCTTTCGGAGGTGGAGGTCACTTCTGTTTCTCACACAACAGATACACATCCTTTGTATTCTCCATCACACATTTATTGAGCCTTATGTGCATTTCTGTTGCGTTTAGTGACACAGAATCAGCTAACAAAGCTGTTTTTAATCACACGTATCGAGTTTTCTACTTAGTAACAATTGCTGTATTGATAGTGCGAGGTGGTCTGTGAGCAGCTCTGTTTCAGTACAGCCAGATTCTACTCGCGCAGGACATAAAATCTGTAAATCATACAAAGTGTGCATCTCTTTCCGTGGGGCCGACATAAAGCTGTTTGGTTCAGTGAATGTCTGCTGCCAAACACAGGCATACTAACTGCTGTTTAACAGTTAGTGTGGATTGGTCCACAGGATGCTAACCCACAGCTATGACCCCATAACAAGAGTTAAAAAGAGATACAAAACACACATATTTCTGTTATAACAATAATACTTTTAGTAAGATGGAGAAGAAGAAAAAAAACACACAATCACAAATGTCTGGGTCCCAACATTTAAATGTATAAAAAATATACCCAATGAAGAAAAAACGAAGTTATCGGGTCCAGCCCGACTTTGACTCTCCTAACACACACACACACACACACACACACACACTCTGAATGATTTCAGTTCTGAGTGTAAAATAAAATATGTGTGTGTTATACTCAGGTTGGATTCATGCTGTGTACACCCCTGTGGACACCATGGTGTTTGGAGGAAACTTCCTGCACAGCTTTAACATCCCCTCGCAGCTCAACATCTGTAACATAGAGGACAGAACGCGGGTAGGTGAAAACCCTCTCCAGAAAGTGTAAAGACAGAAAGTGAATGCTTGTTTAAGCCTGTTGCCTCTTTCACCTCCACCTCAGGTTCCATTGAAGTTCCGCTACCCCTTCTTCTATGAGATGTGCTGGTACGTGTTGGAGCGCTACGTCTTCAGCCTGACCAAAACCTCCTACCTCACACCAGAGTTCCAGAAGCACACGCTGGGCATTGGTATGCACACATGCAAACAGATGGGGGAGATGTGTGGAGACACCTGTTTGTGTGAATTGGTTGTAAATAGTGTGTAACTCCTTCTGTCAGGTCTGAAGAAGCCGGCCAGCTCGGATCCAGCCATCGAGCAGCTGAAGGAGGAGGGGGAAGAGAGGGATGAGGGAAGCAGTGATGAAGAGTTTGACGTTAAACTTCATCTGACTCCCCTTGAGCTGGAAGGGATGTGGAACCTGCTGGGTAAACTGGAGGCTCTGCCCTCCAACAAGAAGTGTCTCCCCGCAGGCATACACAACGCCCCGGCACTCATCACACACATCAAGGTATGACTGCTGTGTTTGAGTTACTCTGCTGTGGGGGTCTTGCTGATATTTAATGGTGTCCTTTGGATGGCTTTCCTCTAATGTGCCCCCCACCCCCCCTGCTGTGCTGCAGGCTCTGCTGAAGGAACACGCCAGTGACAACCCCAAACTATCCTACTCCGGGAAGCCCATCGTCAAGTGGCCAAAGAGAGTAAGCGGCCTTCAGTTTTTAGACACAGCACATCAGCAATGATGCTTTTAGTGTATCCTAAAGCTCTAAGATGAATGGTTATAAATATGTCTGTAAATAATGTATCTGTGTTTTAAATGAAACAACACCTGGATGAGGTGTTTGTCTGTGTTTAGTCCAATATTTACAGTTGTATCAGAAAAAAAACCATTTATGAATATTTGATGTTCTGTATTTATGAAGAACAGACGTATTGATTGTCCAACAGAAAAGTGCCTGGCTGTTATCGTTGGTTTTTTTGTTGTTTTTTGTTGTTCTTTACCTCTGCCATTAACTTTGTTCTGCTCCTCTCCACCAGCCCTCCTGGTACCAGCCTCCTCCTCCTCCTCCACCTCCTCCTCGCCCTAAACTGGCCTCTACTCCCATCACCCCCCGACCACAGAAGCCAGCCTCCTCCATGTCTGTGCTGAGGCGCCGCAGAGTCAGGTGTGTGTTCCGTCACATCAAATGAATATGTGCTTGGATGTTGTTGTTTTTACGCCAAATGAGTTCAGTGACTGAGGCAAATAAAGCCTTGCAAGTTGATTGCAGTTTAGTTTGTGGCATACCAGTCACAATTAAGTGATCCTATTCCAGTAGTTTGAAGCCAACACCATTTTGATAGCCTTTTAAGCCTTTTAGTTAATATACTTGTGAAAGTATGGAATTAAGCGATGGTCATTGCTGTTCTGTTTTCCTCCTCTCAGGTGTAAGCGCTGTGAGGCCTGTATGAGACCCGAGTGTGGAGACTGTAACTTCTGCAGAGACATGAAGAAGTTTGGAGGACCAGGGAAACTCAAGCAGACCTGTGTGCTTCGGCAGTGTCTCTCTGTAAATCACTCCTATATATTTATTCATTATTTTTTTTAATATAGGTTGGATATATCTGTTTTTTGAACTTTCCCTCGCCCCTCCAGCCGGGCCTTCCTCTGTCTGCAGTGTGTGAGATCTGCAAAGAGCCCAATCAGGAGGAGACTGGAGACCCCTCCCTCACTCTGATGGAATGTTCCAACTGTGCACAGATAGTCCACCCTGCCTGCCTCACGGTATAATGCACACACACACAACAGTTTTTTGGACATGCCATTTTTTGACTGTCCTGCACACACACAAAATACAAATGTTTATTTTTATAATTGTTTTTTAAAGATATTTTCCTGTATAGGTAGAATCATATTTAAAAAAAGTATTGTTTCATTTTGGTATTACCGTAATATAACACCATCAACACGTACAGTCAAATAAATAATGCATTATGTATTTTGGCTCACAACACATGTCTTTAGCACTACCAAAGGCCAAAGCTGCACAGGAAGCTTTCATCTATCAGTTGTGAGACCCACAACTTTATGAAAGTACTTGCCTGCTGCAGCAGTGTTTAATAGAAAGGAATACATACGGCTAGTATAGGTCCTATTACAGTAATAACAGTCATCATCTAGATATCAGTATGGTTTTAGTCGTGCTTATTAATACCTATTTGATTTATTTTCATCCATCCATTTACTTCTAATATGTGCATCTGCAGGTTCAAGGTGAGGGGGTGGTGAACAAAGACCTGCCCAGCTGCTGGGAGTGTCCAAAGTGTGTCCAAGGAATCACTGACCCAGAGGTACACAATGTCTTATCCACACACACACACACACACACACACACACACATCTGCACAGACTTCGTGGTCTCTGCAAACTCCTGCGCTCTCTCCTGCACTCAGTCTCTGACCCCTTGGTTCACAGTCTCACACACTTGGTTGCAGTGTGTCAAAGCTAACGGGTATTGTGTGTCTCCTTTCTTTTTGTTTTTCATTGTGTTTTTTTTTTTCGGTTGCATTATTTTCTGTTTTCTTTTTATTTAATTAAACACCGTCAGTCATCAGGCAGCGATGAACCGTTGGCTGCAGGCCACCAGCAGCACATCCGGCCCCACGGCCCCCTGGTCCTCAGACTGGGCCCCGGGCCCTCTGCTACCATAGGGGGTCCTGTGGGCACCCAGCAGGATGGGGAGGTGATTCGCTGTGGGTTCTTCCCTCCTCCTCTTCCTTCCTGCTCTTCCTCCTCCTCACTTCTATTGGTGGCGGCCCCTCTGCCTTCTCAGCCAATCAGCTCGAGACTGGTGAGAGGTGCCGCCTACTCTGAGTTCATCCACCCCTCTGTCCAGTGCACCCTCACACATCTGTCATCCCACCTTTTCAGGAGAAAAGACACAACTTTTGATGTACATTTTCCTATAAATGATCCTCTCACGGAGAATGATTTCATATGAAATACTACTGTTCCACGGTTTATATAAGAGTAGTGCCTCTTCTCTCTGACTTTTAGCTGTTTTCATTTTGGAGCGGTCTCCAGCTCAGATTTTCTTTTGTGCTGTTTTCCCTTCTCAACACTTTCTAAATGATTTATCTCATGGTCAGCCGGTTTGTTTGTTTGTTAAGACAATCAATGTTTGACTAAACCACCATTTTCTTTAGGTTGGACACACAGACACCAGACTAGCCCTACATTGCTCTGGTGCTCCAAACGTTCTTCTGCCACACACTACTTTTGTACATGTTGATGATCCAGTTGTGTTAAGGTTGTAATGTTCATTTGGGGGTAGAGCAGGGCATGGTTTTCTCACACATGCATGCACACACACACACACACACACACACACACACACACACACACACCGTGCCTTAGTTTTTTTCCCATCTGCATTCACCAGAGAAGAATATAAAGACAGAGCCCGGGGGTCTTTGTAGCCTTTATTTAACCAGGTGAAAGCCCCTTGAGATCAAAATATCTCTTTTTCAAGGGTGACCTGCAGAAATGTTGGTGGGAAAAAGCCCAGTGAAACTCAGAGCTGCAGATGTGAGGCTGCCGGTGCCAGCACAGAACACTGTTGGTCCCCTGCCTGACTCACTCACTCAGTGTGAAGCACCGGAGGACCTGAAGCTGTGACTGCTCACTTCTCTGTCCATCACTGCAGTCACCCACTGAATGACATTCTGACAGTTCTAGTAGTGGCTTCTCTGACTACGGTCATGTTCCTAAGCAAACAATTCCTAAACATTCCTGACTGACCACAATGCTGTTTTAAGGAGTCAAAGCGATGTGGAGTTGGTGTGACGGAGGAAGATGCAGAGGAAAGGAAGAGATGGAAATAAATGATTAAAACAAAGTATTCTGCCATAGATAGAATTGAAGGCTTGTTCTGTGTTTTAATGAACCACTTTCAGAAGCTTTTCCACTCTGACAGAAATTAAAATGTGATGATGGAAATGATCAAAATGAGTTATTGAACATCAGAAGGTAATGGCCGCTTCTGCAACAAACGAATGATCAGCCTTTTACTTTCAGCTAAAACAGACAAAAGACTTATAGAGACAAAATATCATTTACAAAGTAAAAATTAAACAAAAAAGCATAACCTTGTTTTTAAGACAAAGGAGATTTGACGCTTTCTGTCACCTCTGTTATTGTTTTTCTGTCAGCTCTGAAGAAACTTCTGATATTGACATGTTTTCCTTTTCCTCCAGCAGTCTAAAGGAGACACAGGGGAAGGCCTTCCAGCGGTGAGTGTTTATTGTGGGGTCTCCACTTCAACATGTAACCATTTCCCTTCTATGCCATTCTGACTGTTCTTCGTCCCCCCTTTTTTTTTTTGCCTGCGTCTCCAGAAGCGGAAATCTTCCTCGCTGCTGGACGCCCGTATGGCTAAGATTTACCGCCGACAGAGACACAGCCATGATGGAGACGACTCTGCCAGTGATGATGATGATGATGATGAAGGTTTGTCTGTTAATCCCACAAAACGGCAAAGAACCTGAGTCCTCCACATGTCTGTTGTTCTGACCCGATCAACTTTGTCCTCTTTACGCAGCCTCTCGGAGAAGAAAGGCACTCCATGCCCGAGGAGGGGGGCACTCTGCCAGGAGGGGCTTTGGGGCCAGCAGGAGAGGGCTGCTGAGGGGGGGCTCGGCCCGCAGGGGGCACCTGGCTGCTGGCTCCTCCTCAGCACTCAAGCTGAAACGAGGGATGGGCGTGAGGGAAGCAGGGAGGAGGGGGCGAGGGGTGAGGCTGAGGGGAGGCTCCAGGATGCAGCGAAGAGGAGAAGAGTCCGAAGAGTCAGATGATGACGACGACGATGATGATGAAGAGGAGGAGGACGAAGAGGACAGTGAAGATGCAGACAAAGAACAACTGCCCCGTCGACGGAGGAGGAGGCGGCAGACTGATGATGAAGACGAGGACAGTGAGGGGCAGGACTTTGACCCTGAAGACGAGGACATGGACACACTGGAAGATGAAGAGGAGGAGGAGGATGAGGAAGGGCACTGGGATTCCGACCCAGAACCCCCAGTGCTTCTGGTGTCAGATCTGAACGATGACCTGCTGAGCGGCTCCTACCTGACGGTCACCTTGCAGCGGCCACACAGGGCCAAGAGACATGCAGGTGAGCCCCCCCCCCAGCTGCAGGGTGACTGAATACACACTGCACACACTACACTACACTACAGTGCAGCACTACACTGCGCACACTGCACGGCGCACACTACACTACAGTGCACCACTACACTGCGCACACTACACTACAGTGCACCACTACACTGCGCACACTGCACGGCGCACACTACACTACAGTGCACCACTACACTGCGCACACTACACTACAGTGCACCACTACACTGCGCACACTACACTACAGTGCACCACTACACTGCGCACACTACACTACAGTGCACCACTACACTGCGCACACTGCACGGCGCACACTACACTACAGTGCACCACTACACTGCGCACACTACACTACAGTGCACCACTACACTGCGCACACTACAGTGCACCACTACACTGCGCACACTACACGGCACACACTACACTGCGCACACTACACGGCGCACACTACACGGCGCACACTACACTGCGCACACTACACTGCGCACACTACACGGCACACACTACACTACAGTGCACCACTACACTGCGCACACTACACTACAGTGCACCACTACACTGCGCACACTACACTACAGTGCACCACTACACTGCGCACACTACACTACAGTGCACCACTACACTGCGCACACTGCACGGCGCACACTACACTACAGTGCACCACTACACTGCGCACACTACACTACAGTGCACCACTACACTGCGCACACTACAGTGCACCACTACACTGCGCACACTACACGGCACACACTACACTGCGCACACTACACGGCGCACACTACACGGCGCACACTACACTGCGCACACTACACTGCGCACACTACACGGCACACACTACACTACAGTGCACCACTACACTGCGCACACTGCACTGCATACACTACACTACAGTGCACCACTACACTGCGCACACTGCACGGCGCACACTACACTGCGCACACTACACGGCACACACTACACTACAGTGCACCACTACACTGCGCACACTGCACTGCACACACTACACTACAGTGCACCACTACACTGCGCACACTGCACTGCACACACTACACTACAGTGCACCACTACACTGCGCACACTACACGGCGCACACTACACTGCACACATTGCGCACACTACACTGCACACACTACACTGCACACACTGCACACACTACACGGCACACACTACACTGCGCACACTACACTGCACACACTGCGCACACTACACTGCACACACTGCGCACACTACACTGCACACACTACACTGCACACACTGCACACACTACACGGCACACACTACACTGCACACACTGCGCACACTACACGGCACACACTACACTGCACACACCACACTGCGCACACTACACTGCACACACTACACCGCACACACTGCGCACACTACACGGCACACACTACACTGCACACACTGCGCACACTACACTGCACACACTACACTGCACACACTGTGCACACTACACTGCACACACTACACTGCACACACTACACTGTAAACAGTACACAGTACTGACTTGTTGTTTGTGCTCAGGCTCTATAGTTCCAAAGCTAGAAGCAGCCATGGGTGTGAGGACAGCTGCGGGGGGGGCTGCAGGTCAGCAGGGCTTCATCCAGAGGAAGACGGCTCTGTCCAAACCCTCCCGACTGAAGAGTGCTGACTCAGCAGCTGACAGTGGCACCCCGAGAGGACCAGGAAGGTAGGACTCAGCACACGACTCGATAAAAATGTTATTTTGAAAATGACCCACTGATAGGTGAGACAAACAGGACTGCACTCAGTGAAACCAGCAAACCCACACAGACCTCCTTTGAGACACAGCACAGTAATCACAGCTCTGTTTGTAGAGTGCTGTGTTCACTGATCCCAGCTCAGTATGTTTTCAGTACACGGGAAAAGCTTAAGGGAATATGCCCCCTCCAGCTCTGGCCCTCTTCTGGCTTGACTGCTCTGCAATGAGTTATTTAGCCAAACGAATAGATGCTGACAAACTACACTGAAGGACTAAAGGAGGTCCTTATGTTGTGGCCGTCCTCTCAGGGGCCGTCCTCTCGGGGGCCTTATCTACACTTGCACTCTGGCAGGCTGTTATTTATGTAACTCCCATAATGCTCTGTAATCTCTCTGACAACTTACTACTTTCTTATGCATGTCATTATTAACACAAATGCCATTTTATATTTGGATCATGTAGGCCACGTATGCGAGGTAACCATGGCGACAGAGGCACTCGAGATCACTCTGTGACTTCCTCAGAGGAAGAGGAAGCTGCTGCGTCTTCTGTGCCCTCCTCCCTGTCTCCCCCCTCCCTGCTGTCTCTGCCCTCCTTTAAGGACGTGGGCAACGAGAGTGGGGGGGAGAAGGAGGTGTGGGTGTCAGTGTTCCAGTACCTGGACCGAGCCCAGCTGTTAGCCTGCATGACCGTCTGCAAGGCCTGGTACAAGTGGTATGTCCCCCCCCCCCGATCCACTACCACATCAACATGTCTGAGTGTCACTACAGCAGAGCTCTGATGTACATGTCCCATCATGCAGGAGCTGTGACAAGCGTCTGTGGAGCCACGTGGATGTGAGCCGCTGCAGCCCGCTCAGCAACCAGGTGCTGGCCGGCATCATCAAACGCCAGCCCGCCTCTCTGGATCTGTCCTGGACCCCCCTGGCCAAGAGACAGCTCAACTGTCTGCTCACCAGGCTCCCAGGTACACACACACGCACACACTTTCACACACGGATCCCCTTGGTCCTACATTTCTCATACCACCCCCCCTCTGTGTTCAGGTCTGAGGGAGCTGAGGGTGACGGGGCTGTCCTGGTCCTGCCTGTCGGCACTGGTCTCCCCCACGCTGCCCTGCCTGCGGCTGCTGGACCTGCGCTGGTGTGAAGGCCTCAAAGACGCCCAGATTAAAGAGATCCTCACCCCTCCAGGTCAGTGCCGCCTCCAAGCATCTACACTCAGGGCTTTTGGTGGTTTTGATGTCTTCCTGAAGTGCCCTGATGTCATTTCCTGTTCGTCGTCAGTGAACTGAGTCAGGAAGCTTTCTGTGTCCCCTCTGTAGATGTTAATGAATTAAATAACTTGGCTAGGGGAATTTTTCTTCCTAAATTTCATATAAATGCACAATAGGTCATTTTCTGCCAGTAGGGGTCTGAATCAAAGCAAAAGACAGATTTTGGTGAAGTAGCGTTGAGTCATGGGAGTTTTTGTCTTCTTTCTGACCTCGCCACCGATTGAACACAGCCATGTGATTCCCACAGGGAGCTGCCCCTCCCTGATGTGGTCAGCACAGCGCTGTGCAGCATGTGATCTCCATATGAGCGTTTCCTCCTTCCCTCAGGCTTGGAGTCGTCCCGCAGCAGATTGAGGAACATGGTGACGCTGCGTCTGTCGGGGCTGGATGTCAGTGAGTCCACTCTGCGGCTGCTGCAGCGCCACATGCCCCAGCTGCAGAGGCTGGACCTGGCTCACTGTAAGGACATCACAGACTCCTCCATCAGCCTGCTGGCAGCCGCCGGCTCACACAGCCGCAACAACCTCACTGAGCTCACTCTGGCAGGTTAGAGCTAAACATCTCATCATTCTGCTTTTATGATGCACAGCTCACCATTATGTAGGTTAGGGTCATTACAAAGGGCTGTGCATAGGGTCATTACAAAGGGCTGTGCATAGGGTCATTACAAAGGGCTGTGCATAGGGTCATTACAAAGGGCTGCGCATAGGGTCATTACAAAGGGCTGTGCATAGTGTCAGAGTCAATTATAAATAAAGATGAACCGGGAGTACAACTCTAACGAAACTGACCTGAAGCCAGAAAGATCTCTCTGTTGCAGTGGTGCTTATTTTCCCTCAACAGTCTGTGTTTTGGGTGTGTGTGTGTGTGTGTGTGTGTGTGTGTCCAGGTTGTAGCGAGCTGACGGATGGCTGTCTGTCCTACCTGAAGCGTCTGTCCTCTCTGACTCTGCTGGACCTCCGAGGCTGTAAGAGCATCAGCCGACGGGCCTGCGACGCCTTCATCTCTGACCTGTCCCACGTGGCCCTCTTCTGTATGATGGAGGAGAATCTCATCCAGCGCCTGGATTAACACACACCTGTTTACACTGTTTCATGGTCAACTGTAAGAGAGAAGAAGAAAGCTCAAGCTTCTGCGTTTTTGTTTTTTTTAAAACATGAAGAGCATCAAACCTGGAGTTGTCTGTCAGAAACATTAAACTTTTTTTCAAAAATGTCAATGTATCTTTGAAAAAGTCTTCAGTTGACTGAATTGAATAAAGGAATTGCCTTGCTCAAGGGCACCTCGGCAGTGCCCAGGAGGTGAACTGGCACCTCTCCAGTTAGTCGTTCACACTCCATTTCTTTCATGTGATGTGAACCAGCGACCTTTGGGTCCCTACAGACCTCTGGCTTTTTGAAGGGTCACTTTTTCTCATATCAATGCTAGAATGTACCCACCTTGTTGATTCATTCAGAAGCTACACATGAGAGCAGCTTTCCTGAGGACAGACTGACCTGTCACACTCCTCTTTATTACTTTAGGATTAAAAGTCTGGTAAATGAGGGATAAGAGTAAGCTTTGTCCTTGAACAGATCAAACGTGTGTCTGTGTGTACAGTAAATGTCATGTGTATATATGTGTTCATTTGTTCATGTTTCAGCCATGTTATAATTCACTCAGACAATTGTCATTGTACATTTATTTTCTTACTTTGGAAACATAATCAAATGTAAATGTCTCAACCTTGTATTTGCAGCATTTGTTTACAAGCATTACATTAACCACTCACGGACTTAAGTATGAAGTATTTTATACATATAGATCATATTTGATCTATATGGGCTGTCAAAGACTTCACCTTCTCACCGGCTGCATTCTTTGCTCTGTACTCTGTGGACAGCAGGGGGCGCTGCTGAGGCTGACTGCATCAACATATTCTGAGCTCAATGTCTCAATGAGACGGACACTTTAATTTCTATGGGATGGAAAGGACATAATTCTAAATAAATACAAAATAAAAACAAACGCAAAGATTATGAATGCTAAAACTAAAATACACTTTTTTTTTATAACTTTCTTGTGGAAACAAGTGGTACAGGAGGAAGTGGCGTGAGCACGTCACACTTTCTGGAAAGTCTTTATTATTTTGTCCATGTCCCCTTGTTCTGCAGGAGATAAATCCCTGCATGCTAAAAAGTTTCTAATTAAACAAAATACAATTGTATGTATTCCTACATTATTCTTCACATGTTTATGTGTATGCTAATCTGCTAGGAGGTCGTAACATCTTTATTCCTGTATATATTTATTTTTACATTTACATATTTATTTAGTTAATTCACTGTACTGGTGTGCAGAACAGCAGACCCTGCACTAACTGGAGGACTAAAGTCAAAACTCAACACCACCTGATGTTCACCTGTCAATCAAACACCAGGAGCGCCCATCTACTTCCGACCCATATGGGACCTTATTTCGGAAAAATTATGCATGGAAGTCAATGGGGAGAGAAAGATTATCTTTCGATCCCGTTTGAATTGTGCCACGAATTACACGTATGATGTTTGTCAATCTTAAATAATAATTTCCATGTCAAAAAAGTCACAGTTTGTCGTAAAACTGTTTAAATATAAGACTGAAAATACGCAACTAGAAAGACTACAAATCCCAGAATCCCGGTCCCGCATGCTGGCTCTTACGAACCGACTAACTCCCCTTTTGTGTATGTACAGCGCTCAACATGCCCAGACTTGTAGTGATTTTCACCTCTTTTAATACTTTTTGCCTCATTCGGAAAGAAAGAAGTGAAATGTGCCAACGTGACGGCCGTCTTGGTGTGTGGTGCGAGACGGGAGATGTAGGTCATTGAGCGGTTCACACCAAAAAAAGTGTTACTTCACAGTTTTACGACACATTTTTATTTTTTTGACTTGTAAAATTATCTTTTAAATTGACAAACATCATATGTGTAATTCGTGGCACAATTCAAACGGGATCGAAAGATAATCTTTCTCTCTCCATTGACTTCAATGATAACTTTTCCGAAATAAGGTCCCATGGAGGTCCACCGGAAGGGGAGGGACTTCGCCTCTCACTGAGGTGTCTGACAGCTGTGCGTTGTTGGGACTGAGGGCCTTTCTCATTTCACTAATTTCCCCTCGACTCCTATCCTCGTGTCTAAGTCCCGCCCACAGGAGATGCGAGCAGAGGAGCCGAGGAGGGGAAGTGAGAAATCCTCTCCTCTGAGCGGTCATTTTAAAGGGACGTCCATTAATGATGACAGGAGGCACAGCTGCCCTCTGTCTGATGGACAGGACTGTGTTCATGATGACTTCTATATTTACTTTTAATTCATTCACAGTGCGGTATAATGAGACAATAACAGGCTACAGAGGCGGACATATACACACGTATATATAGGTATATATATATATATATATATTTATATAAATACAATTTCAGATTCAAACAAGTATGAGAGCACTCTCATAATAACGTAACACTATCAAAGACTGGATATATCCCCCCCCCCTCTGGTTGCTACAATGAGGAAATGAAATTGCGGGCCAAAAGTTTTATTTACAAGTATTAAAAGTAAGCAGAGGACACCAAACCAACTAAGACCTGTCTGTCCGCCACATCTACGCACACACACACACACTGAACCACACACACCTGACAGCTCCTAAAGCATATCATATCAGGATACAGCCGTTGTGTATTTTATTATGTGAAGCACTAAATGGTTTTAGACAAATGTGGACTCTTTGTTTGTAGATATCTACTAAACTACAGCAAATAAAGAGAGTAGGCCTGTTATACTGAGTGATATATATTATACACACTGCTCTGCTTTCTGCACGGACCTCACAGCTGTTCTCACTGGAAACATCGCGTCGCGATGAAAGCAGTTAATAAAATAATATCCAGGGGATGCATGCAGAGCTGTCATTGGCTGAGATAAGTCCGACGACTCTTCACTGTTGCCGGAAATGCATCCGTGGAGGACCCATCAGTGTATCCTCGATTATAGCTCCTCCAGAGAGCCTCCTCGACGCTCGATCCTCTATGGCTGCGTTTCACTTCGGTTAAATGGTTTCCTTGCGTCCCTCCCACCAGGGAAGCATGGAGAGACGCAAGGAAACCACGAGAAGCAGGGAAATGAGTTTTAAGAGCAATGGGACGTCCTTTCCTCCGGAGCGTCACGTGAAGCGACGTCCGTTTGTGATGACGCTGCACAGCTGATCGTCTGACAGCAGGGTTGCATTCGAATAGTCCATTTAGCTTAGGAACCTTCCTAACGGAGTGAAATGACCCGGAAGTCCCTCAGTGGCAGCCATGATAAGTGCCGTTCGAATTCTCTAAATTAAAAGGAAAGGAGGTTTCAAACTTCCTTTATAACCTCCTTTAGCCTAGGAACCACTGGACCTCCCTAACCGAAAGGAGAGGAGAAAATGCTGCCCCACAATGCCTTGCAGCCGCAGCATTTGCCGTCACACAACAGTCGGCCGTTCACGGAAACAACCGATTATGAACGAGAAATGATATCATGAAAGTTACGGTGCTTATTAAGCATTTTAAAACGTATGTGGTAAGTTGCCAAAGTGCTTTGTTTTGAACGTTCATCAGTATTATAATCAAAAAGAGAAATATGAACGTTAGTTTTTACTGAAATGATCAAATAAAGTCAACATTTCACAGTCTTTACTGAGCTGTGTGGGGTTTGTTCAACTTTTAAAAGATGTTTGAATGGTGATATACACAGTGATAGATGTTAAGGACTAACGTTTATAATAAATACATTTGTATTGATTTTAAGATCTTTTCATACAATCATATGTATTGGGATCATTTGTATTAATGTGGACCGGAGGGAGAGGGTGACGAGCATAAGTTTCACTTTCCTTTTTTATTTCAATTTCAACTTTGGTCATGAAGAATATGTTTCTCTGTTGTCCCCGTTCATAAAGCATAAAACAACAGCATCAGAGCACGGTGCAGAGTCTCTAGATGAGTTTACAGTAGTCCCTCGTTCTTATTAAACATCCATGTTGTAGTCCGCTGTATAGAAAACTGTAGTTTCCATAGTTTCCCCACAGCAGCAGGCGCACATTTATGACCTCTGCTGGCGCATCATAAACACGTCGGATAGTGAAAGTGCAGTCGGATTCTCTAAAGTGCCGCAGTCTCTTCTCCTAAATCCTTTTGAATTCTCCTATCCACTATCCCTTAACCCCATGACGTTTCACTCCGAGGTCAAGGAATAGACGATAGGGTTAGAACTTAGGAGCTGTTTTTTTGGAGTATTCGAACGCAACCCAGCTCTGTCCCCGTTATTTTCACAAACACCCCGGCCTCTGTTAGTACACATTTACTGACACAAACATTTGTATCATCTGTTGTAGACCCAAATACATTAAATAAAATAAAAACTCATTCTCAAAAAAGATAAACGCCATTCTTAAAATGTATAAACGAACAATGGTTGGATTAATATTGATTAGAGTGCACAATAGAGAGATAGAGAGAAGAAAAAGAGATATGTTATCTATCAAAACCATAGACTGTATATATAAAGATCAAAACCCAGTTAGATTAACATTCATTGGATTGCACACTTTGTTTGTTTGTGTGGATATGTAGCAAATTAACATTTTAAATAGCACTTAATGACTGACTGAATGGAAATGACAATAAATGAAAATGTAAAACGAAAAAAGCGATCATGAAAATGTTTCCAAAAAATGAATAAAATAATTTTTGACCACTTTGTTCTTCAGATATATCACATATTGTAACTAAATGATACATTAATTGAAACAAAACACAGCATAAACTGAGGAGTGAGTCCAGTGAGTTTCATGTGTTTTCCTCACTCCGCTGGGAAACTGCTCTCATGTCAAGAAGCATCAGATCAGTGCATGCGCTGCATCGTCCAATCAGTGAGCGACACACAGTAAGGGGGCGGGGCGAGTGTCTGAGGATTTCATCGAAGGATGGTCTGGTGGGGTTCCTCGGTTATAGCTCCTCCATTATCGCTCCTCGCTCCTCCGGCAAAAATAAGGCCATTGGGACGCTACTCAAGATGGCGCAGACAAATCAACTTCCGGTGAGACCGAGACCGAGGAGCAAGGAAATGAAAAATAAGAGAAGTGACACGCAGCCCCTGTGCATTTAGAGAAATTAGATGTCCTTCAACATGGCGCGCCGAAAACCATTTCCGGGTCACTACCGGAGGACCGTTGATTCAAGGAGTCGAAATGAGAGAAATAAGAAAGGCCCTGAGTGTTTCATTGTTTCATTTTCACTGCACTTTGACACCGGTACATGAAATTAACTTCTGTCTGTAATTCAAATCCAGGACTGGGTAAACTGACCCTTCAGCTAGCCATCCAATCTACAAATCCTTACAAAGACACAGATGTTAAAATCTTAATTTTATTACAAACACAAAATTAATTCACATCTTTCAAGAAACCCCAGTGTGTGTGTGTGTGTGTGTGTGTGTGTGTGCGTGCGTGCGTGCGTGTGTGTGTGTGTGTGTTCAGCATGTGTGGCGGTCTGTGTCTCTGTCTAATAGCTCTTGGTGGTCTCGTAGGATTCTGGGAAGGGGAGGCTGACATGACCGCTCCCTGCCACCAGAGGCAGGATCCCAGCGTTGGGAACAACGTTCCAGGACAGCGTCAGAGTGATGTTCTTGTTGGCCCTGCAGACGACACACACACACACAACAGTTACGGCCCGTCCACACAGCAGCGTTAAAAAAATCTTGGAGGTGGGCGTATCTGAAGCTTGGGGATTTTTTGTGAGCAAGGCACCAACAACCAATCACATGAATCTCCCGCCCCCGACATACGAAGCAAAAAAGCCCTAAGTAAACTGGATATAAACTCCCCAAACAGGCGAAAACATACCACTGTCTCTGCCACCTCCCTCCATGCCTGGCTCCTCCGGTTTATATCCCGGTAGGTAAATAGGGACTGGTCATAAAGCACCGGGTGATTCCCTACCGCTAATTTCTCCTCCATTTTTTGGAATATGAGGAAATGACCTGCGGTATGTCTCTCCCAGCATACACGCGGTTTGATTGGCTAGCGCTTGAACTGTCAGATTTGCATACACGGGATTTGATTGGCTGACGCTTCCACCTCAGCTTCAAAAGTTGAACATTGCTCAACTTTGAATCCTGAAAATCCTGAAAATCTCCGCTCGCCTGCCCACAATGCAGTTCTGCGAAAAGTGAGGCAAAGTGACGCCACCCCATTCAAAGTGAATGGGCAGAAGCGTTTCAAGATTTTTTAACGCTGCTGTGTGGACGGTCCGTTATGCCCCTTTCACACCAACGCGTTTTCAGCTCCGGCTCGGAGCTGGAGCCTGAAAAGTACCGTTTTTTCCTGTTCACACCGCAGCGGCGCCGCCGCCTCTTAGCTCCGGAATGCGGTTCACTTCCAGCTCGAAAAAATTGTCGGTCTAGAGGCAAGAGCTTCGGAGCTAAGAGGCGGCGTCGCTTACGTCTCTCTTACGTCGAGGCGTGCAGGAAACTAAACCCACCTCCCCTGAACATGGTTCGACTGAAGAGTCTCGTCATGCCTGCCTACAAGCAATAGCGCTGAGCAAAGTGACTAGAAGGCAACCACACACTTAAAAAAAAACACACTTTATAAAGTCAGGCAACACTAACCAGGCTTCGTGTGATTCTGTTTATTTGTACCTTACTTTGACCATCCGTTCGCTGTTATTGGTCATTGTGGAGAGCAGGCAGACGTTTTGTTTGTTATTATAGCAGCTATCGGATGGAATCAATACATGGGCTGCACAGGTTGTCATGTCCGACTATCACAAGTAGAATCATAATGAAAAATACGCCGGTAAAATGTGCCTGTAGAAAACGGCTTAGCAAGTAGTCAGTTTAGCTTCGGTTGCTATGCTAACATCACCCATGTTATACCAGAGAAACTTTCATAACAGCGTTGTGATGCCAAACAGCGTCAATTCAGACTGACACACATTCACTTAAGGGGAACTGGGGATATGTATCAGCTGCTTGTGTGACAGTCAGACAGTGAATACTTTAGAGCCGTGTGAGCTAACCCGGAGCTAACGGGAGAATAAACTCCCGTGGAAGAGCAGCCAGCACTGCAGCGATCGGTAAATGCCGCTGAAACACATTAATAAACAATGAACCACGGCACTCTGGAGAAAAGTATAAGGTTGGAGAAGTCGTTATTTAATTTAATCTGGCTTCGTATGATTAAAAGCAACACGATCATCGACCCGACGCAGTCCCCCGTTGTTGTTGTTGTTGTTGTTGTTGTTGTTGTTGTGAGCTCCGTTGGGGAGAAAATCAGTGATATAAACGGTGACGTCATGACGCAGAGGCAAGCACTGTAATTCTCTCCGGTTAGTCCACCAGCAGATGACAAACACCCACCTCTCCGCCTCTTCCAAGGAACGAGGGGACCGTGCGGCAGAGTTTCAGTTAGATTTTTTTTCGCCGGTCAAGATGTCCGTTAAAGTTTAAATCTTCCGGACAAAATTAGAAAAGTGCCGGTCAAAGGTCTTCTTTGTTATTTATTGAGCTTTAAAACAAATGAATAACGACTCTATATAATCATATAAGAATAAAACACGGAGGACGGAGATCTCTTTTTCTCCCCCTCTTCTGACAGCCCAGCAGCTGATCTCAAAGCAGGGGGGCGTGGTCAGCTGCAGCTCATTTGCATTAAAGCTACGTCACAGAATCAGCCCCTGCAAAAACAGGGCTGGAAAGAGCAAATAGAGCGAAATGAGGCATGGCTAAAATGCATTAACGTGTCTGGTATTTTGAAAAAAAAAACGAAACAGACATGTTTTATATAGGTATGGCCCTACAATATATTGTTCAAATATAGCATGATAGGTCCACTTTAAAGTGTGAGGCTTGAAATATGTGGGCATGTATCAGACATATAGGAATGCAATATAGGAAATGCTTTAGTGACTGACCCAGACTGGGGGCTTAGAGTAAGCTGGCCTTACTGGTTCAAAAGATTCTTTTTGTAATTAGTCCTGTATATTTGGGAGTGTTTAGGTCCACTTCCCTAATATCCCCTAAAGAATCCTGTGATAATATTGAACAGGAATGTGTCTTATCCAATCAGTAGAAATATGTCATTGTTATATTTAGCAGAGCGCCCTGTAAAAGATGTGTCAGTTGTATCTGGAAGGAGCTAAACAATCTGATGCCAGGCGCACACAAATGTGATTAAGGAAAATGATTAAAAAAAAGAAAAGAGTGGGGTTTAGATGGAAGATCACAGATCACTTTACCTGTGCACTGACACTGAACTGCTGTCAGTGTTGTTAAGTGTTGAATGCCTTACACTGTGTGTGAGTCTGTGGGAGTCTCACCTAAGTCCATTCCCATCATCAAAGAAGAAGTATTTGGACTTCACATCTCTGAGGTTCAGTTTGGTGTTTTCCCCTCGAAGGACGATCTTATCCCACAAAACCACCTGGTTCAGAGCCTGACACACACACACACACACACACACATATATAAATGAATAACAAGATGAACATCAACATTTACATTATAAGCTTTGTAAAAGGTAGAATATGGGGCATCAATATTATAGGTGTACCTAATGAAGTGACCAGGAAGTGTTTACTGTCAGGATTCATTTTAAATTCTGACATCAAACCTACGGTCCAATACAGGCATTTTCTTTTGTAGATTCATTTTGAAGATTTGATAATGTGTCACACATTTTGTATGTATCATTTTGTATGGACATCTGTCATCATGCAGAACCACATCAACACTAATCAGCAATAGTAGTGTGTGAGTGTGTGTGTGTGTGTGTGTGTGTGTGTGTGTGTGTGTGTGTGTGTCTTACATTGCTCCTCGTGGCGTACTCAGCAGACAGATAGAGGAAGAGCTGCTTGACGTTCCAGTCGAAGATGGGCTGCAGATGTGGGAGGAGTTAAGGAAGCAGAGAGGACAGAAGCTGTTCATATTAAAGGCCTGTTTATGTGAGGATTCATTCAACTGAGTTCTGTAAGTGTGGGTGATTTTAAAATAGTTGAGTGCCGATAGGTACAACAACAACAACGATGCGTTACATGTCACTAAAAAGGACTAGAAGCTGGCCAACAAGAGGCCGCTGCCTGGAACTCAAATCAGATGCCTTGTAACTTCAATTCATTTGATTTTGGTTGCAGTGTTCTAAAGGATATCAGATGAGAGGTCAAAGGTGAGGAAACCCAGATCACTGCGCTCCCTGGGTCCTGTGAAGTCATCCACGTTCTTCCTGTTGAACAGACAGAGGAGGTGGATGAGAGGAAGGAGTAACAGGAGGAGTTAACACTGCTGGTGAACAAACATTTAGGAAAGAGGTTTCTTTAGAAAGGGCAATGCATAAACTTCATACTAATTTACCTTTTGGAGAGATATCTAAAACCACAAACTATTTCAAATCAAATCAAATCAAGTTTTATTTATAAAGCACATTTATAAAGCACATTTATAAAGCACATTTAAAAGCGATTTTTGGTCGAGCCAAAGTGCTGTACATGTAATAAAAACACATTACTACAATCACAATAAAAGACAATAAATTACAACAGATATATATAAAAAATTTAAAAAAACACACGGAAAAGTCAGGAGTCGTGCTCCGTTCTAACTAGAAGGCCAGAGAGAAGAAGTGTGTTTTTAGTGTAGATTTAAAAACCCCTAGGGTCTGGGCCGACCTCACATGGAGGGGCAGAGTGTTCCAGAGCCTAGGGCCAGCTGCTGCGAAGGCTCGGTGCCCTCGGGTTTTTAGCCTGGTCTTGGGCACTACCAGCAGCAGCTGGTCAGCAGACCTTAAAGCTCTGGCTGGGGTGTAGCGATGGAGCAGTTCAGCTATATAGGCCGGAGCCAGCCCATTTAGTGCTTTGAAAACAAATAAAAGGATTTTAAAATCAATTCTGAACCGAACTGGAAGCCAGTGTAGTGAGGCCAGAATTGGGGTGATGTGGTCACGCTTTTTGTGGCCAGTCAGCAAACGTGCAGCTGCGTTTTGGACTAGCTGCAGGCGTTTAATTGAGGCCTGGTCCATACCCACATACAAATAGAAATGATTCAACCCTGACTTGGATTTACTAATCGGTTAACAATTTGAAATGACTGTTTACTGAGCTGATGCTGCATTTCTGACTGCACCTGAAAGACTTGAATTCAATAGCGAAAGGAACCCTTAAATGGTTTCTGTATGCTGGGCGGTACAGTCATTTGACAGCTGTGTCCATGTGTACAATAACAGTGTAACATGATTGTAATAGGGATGTATATATGTGTAATGTGGGTGTAATAACTGTGTAATATGGGTTTATTAGGGGTGTAATCTAAGAGTAATAACAGTGTAATTACGGTAAAATATGGGTGTTACATGGGTATTATAACAACAGTGTTGTATGGGTGTAGTAACAGTGTAATATATGGGTGTAATAAGAGTGTATTCATGTGTAATATTGGCGTTATAACATTGTAATTAGGGTGTAATGTAGAAAGTAGCTATCAATTAATTTTCCAAAGTATGTGAATGCCCATTTAAGGGTTCAATTGTTCAAGTAAGCAGCTGATCACTGCTTCATTACTCTAAACATTAATGGCTTGTTCGACTTCCGGCTTACGTTATAGTCAGTGAATAGTATCAAACTACAAAAGCAGGCCTGCAGCTTCTCAACCTCTCTTTGTTCAGGTTTCATTTAACGTTAAGAGCGTTGTAGCATCAGTAATACACGATGCATAGCTGTAATAGAGTATACTAAGGTAGAGTTAATGCTAACAGCTGTTACACATGATAGTAGACGGAGGAACTTACAGCATGACTTTAGAGACGTGGATGTCCACAGGAACCCTTCTGTCTTTGAATGCTGTCGTGACGAAACAGCCAAAAGTTAAGGCCGCCATGACGCTCAGGGAGAAGGCGAACAACGAGTTAGCCCTTGAAAGAACCGTATTCATCTTTGAAAAGCAGCTTCGACTCCAGGAAACGATAAGAATAAGAGAAATTCAAAGAGAGGCTTATCACACAGGCTGTGCGCGGTTGCTAGCTACTGTGTACAAAAAGGAAACGTCAAGTGTCATGGAATGAAAACGTACTTCCTGTTCATGGTTTTCAAAATAAAACCACTTCGTGTTTGTTTCGCGTTGTCTTTGTATCTGCGTCAATGTCTTGGGTATTTTTTGTTAGGAAGCTATGTTAAATAAAAGTGGTGATTTTCTATGAAGATACTATCTTTAGAGACCTTATATTTAAAGTGTGTATACATTCACGCAGGCAAAGAGATGATAGCTCCTTTTCCATACCTAATGAAATGCAAAGGTTTTATTTGTCGAAATGGAATGTAATCTAAATGTTTAAATGTAACAGCCTTTGCATGCAACACAATTTACAAACAACAATTAGACGCGCAGCTCGAAATAAGTAGGATAATTCTATATGAAAGATGTGTAATAACTTACTGCGGTGGAAACACTCCTGACGTACTTCCGATGTTGTGTTACCTTCAGCAAACTTGACGTAACAACAGAGGGAAGCGATGAGTAAGCGGAAGTAGTACGCCATTTTTTTCAAAAGCTTTATTCATAATTAATTCTGAAACAAAATATCTTTAAAAAAAATGAAGGGTCACTGCTAATGATCAGTTTATCCGGCTTAACTATTTAAAATGTAAGTATTTGAATAATATTAGCATTGTATTAATGTTCTTATCTACTGACAACCTTTCTCCCAAATAACTAATACATATTGTCTTTTATACAATGTATTTGTAACAAAGAACATGCATTGGTTTAGGACCTCAAATAATGCAAAGAAGAATCCAAATACATATTCCGTTTTTCAATACAATCCATCGGTCTTCATCTATATAAACCCTGAGGTTTTGAACTGTAATGGGATTTAGGTCTGGAGATATGCTGGATGACAGGGTCAGGATCTTGTGGTCCTCCATCCAAACCTTTACTGACCTGGGATGGAAGTAACTAAGTACATTTACTCAAGTACTTAAGTACTTTCATAATCTGAATCAGAATCAGAAACAGGTTTATTGCCAAGTAGGTAAACACCAGTGGTGAACCGTCAGGGCCTTCAAGGTGTTCAGAGAATACCCTGGAACACTCAGATAAAACAAACAAAACATCGATTTAATTATATAAATACAATGTGTGTGTGTCTACAGAAGGTCCAGTTGTGATAGACACCGTTCACCACTGGTAAACACATACCAGGAATTTGAGGTCCTTGTACTTTTACTGGAGTATTTTCATTACAATAATTTATACTTGTACTCTGCTACATTCATTTTAGAAGCATCCAACATTATATTAAAGTAACTAAAACCATGAGGGGGTTAACAGAAAATGAATTGGCAGCAATTTTGTTGTGATATCACAAATGCGGCTTCTTAAAAGTGAATATTTCCTGCTTTTGCTTGAAATATAATATATTATATTTTGTGTTAGTTTTTTCTGCAATGATTACTTTTACTCCTGATACTTTAGATTCAAGATTCAAGGCTTTATTGTCATATGCACAGCAGCTACCGTGTAGATATGGCAATGGAAATCTTAAGTCCCATGCTCCTCCAACAATGCAACATGAATCAAACAGATAAAACCAATAAAACATAGTGGAAGAAATAACAATAGAATAAAATAGTGCAAGAGGATGTTGCAAGATGTGCAAGTAAATACAAATAAAATAGAAATAGTGCAAGAAGAGTCCTGGAGTCCATGTTGAACCTGCAGCCTGTGGAGGAAGAAGAGCCGCTGTCGAGCTGTTTTGGTGATTTAAGTACATTATCTAATTATACTTTAATACTTTTACCTAAGTACCATTCTTGATGCAGTACTTTGATTTGAAATTGAGTATTTTTACAGTGTGGTATCAGTACTTTACTTAAGTAAAGAGTCTGAATACTTTTTCCACCACTGCCTGCTGGAGACCGGACCTCAGAGTCGGAGAACATTGTCAGAGCAGGAGGAAAGACGTTTTATTTCCGGGTAACTTCAGACATGGCTTAAATGATGCTTCCTTTACAAACACAAACCTGCCAGTCTTTCTGAAGCCGTCCAGATCCTCACTGATCCTCCACCATTTCTCCATCAGTCCATCAGTCAATCGGTCGAAGACCCTGTAGCTTGTAAGCCTCTGCATGTCTCTGTCTAACCACTAGACGTTGTGGGAAGAGCTGAAAATGTAGCACATCAGAGAAGTTGACGTTACTCTTATTCTCTACCGTCCAATCCCCCTGGTGTTAAGCAAACCTCAGCCTGGCTCTTTTTTGCTTCTCATTAATGAAGAGCTTTTTTCCGAGCTTGACATTATTGAAACGTCCTCACAATGCACACACCCGAGCGGTGATGGTGAATTTGACTGAGACTGACCTGCACGCCATTACATTCCCTCATGATTCATCACGAGAAGATGGATGTCATAAAGTCAGCCAACAGCAAAGTGACAGGCTGCAGAGGAGGCTGAGTGTGTGTGTGTGTGTGTGTGTGTGTGTGTGTGTGTGTGTGTGTGTGTGTGTGTGTGTGTGTGTGTGTGTGTGTGTGTGTGTGTGTGTGTGTGTGTGGTCCACTTTAAGGACAGGAATAGATTCTCTCTTCCACACGTGGACGCGCATGTGAGATGATCATGTGCGTTTAATACAACAACAACAAATCCGTTACGCCAATCAGATTGCTCCGGCAGCTCCTGGCCCCGCCTCTCCCCGCTCTGAAGCTCGCGCTTTGCTGCTGCAGTCACACTGTTTATGAGAGGTAAACTCGTGAGGTTCAGCCTCTGGATTATGCCAGAGGTTCCATCCGGAGCTGCAGAGATGTCCCGGAAAAGAGTCGCTGAGCCCGGGCCCTTACCCGAGAACGTCCCGGAGAGGAAGAAGGCCTGCTGGGGCATCCTGACTAGCCAAGGTCGGTACCGTGCTGCGGGTTAAAGCACAGGCTGTTCATGCTGCTGAGGGGGAGTCTGTCACAACCTAAATATACAGAGAATATAATATATCTGCAGTGGTATAAAAAGGGAAAATCATTGAAGACTGAAAGGAAAAGCATTACCTTAAATAGGCTATAGGCTATATAGATCATATATATTATAACTTTGATCGTATAAAAACAAAAAATCAGTAAAGAATTAAAATAACCGCATAGGCTATATTCATTGTATGTATAGCCAACAGGTATTTGTTTTAATATTTGTTTTATATTTGATAGTCTTCTTTGGGGCTCCACAGTAATTTGGCTCCCCATGTTAACAGCCATGGTTCCATGAAACTGAAAAGAGAAAACAACTGTAAACCCTCCCTACTCTCAAACAGAATCTCTTATAAAAAAAAATATTTTATAAACCACTTTTGATATTTCCTTATCTTTCTATCATCAGCTTGAAGTTAAATTCAGTTGATATAGTAAATTATCAAAAACATGTTAGATTAAGCCAGTGTTTCTCAAAGTGGGGGGCACAAAAGAAAAAAAGATTGATTCGAAAATAATATGATACAGTACAGTACATGTACGTCTGGGTCTCTGTGTTTCATTCAAGCTTGGCTCTGTGTGTGTGTGGAACGAGCCATTTTGTGTGCGTGCGCGAGCGAGCGAGAGAGAGCGCACCGGTACCAGAGATCGTTGTTGTTAGCTTCTGGTGCTAGCGAGCTAGTGGCCGGGTCTCAAACGTTTTGGTCACGATTAATGTAAACAATTATTTCTGAGGCACACGTTTATATGATCATTATAGTTATAAAAAAATAAGAGAATAAATGAAAAACAGGTATGAAATACTATATGACAGTAAAAAAAGAATACAGTTTAAAAGGGGAGTGATTTCTAAAATATCCATAAAGAAATAGAAAATCTGTTTACAGTTCGGTTTCAAATGGGTGTTGAGAGATGTATCCATAGATCTCTTCATTTTGCTCTCAAAGTGCACCAGATTGATGCTTTTAACTTCAATATTTAACTCCCCCGGGGGAGCATGCCCCCGGACCCCCCTATGTTAGGTCCACTCCCCACCTTTACAAATAGCACTTTACCCCTGCTTACACCTATATGCCGTGAGCTGATTATCGAGCCTTCATTGTAACAGTCGCGGGTACACTGTGTATTTGCGTGGGGAGTGTTGCAGTAGAACATTCCACTGTAGCGCCCGGTACATTAATGGGAAACCCTACATGTTTGAGCATCCCTCTATGAAACGTCAAGCTACCCCACAGCACCCCCAAAATAAATCTCTGGCGCCGCCACTGAGCCTGCAAACCCGTTTGGAAGAAATGTGCAGTGCAAAACAGGCTCATTGCAGCCACTAATGCCAAATATCAGCATTTTCTTTCTTTTCATTTTTTTGCACAGATTGCAAAGTGGCAAAGTATTATAACTTATTGTTCTAGCAAAGGGATTGCACAATTGTATTATGTATTTATTTGTTGACCACACAGACTTATGGAGCATTGTTTTATTATCACTGTTCTAGCAAAGGAATGCACACGTTCATATTGATGTATTTTAATAAATGTTAACTTGGCCCATTACGTGACTATTTGTGTTGGGGGGGCCCAACTTTGTTTTTTCTCCAAAGGGTGGGCCTGACAGAAAAAGTTTGAGAACCACTGGATTAAGCCTGCCACTGTGTTAGTGCTGTTCAGAACACAAGAGAGTTGGAAAGCTTTTTTTTTCAGATTACTTGAACTAGAATTCTTAAAGCTATTCATGACAGAGGGCCTTTAAACTGCAGTATCATTATGGTTAAAGGTCTTTCGTGTAGTAGGCCTGTAATGTTTTTTTAAATGTGATTTGCTGAGAAGCATTGCAAAACAACATTTAGATTATGAGCAACTTTTCTTGAATTAAAAAAATTATAATTCGTGACTAGATTTGTATGCAAGCCAGAGTGAGAGAGTGAGTGTGAGAAATAACAACATGACACTACTCCCTATTGAGACAAATGCATGCTTCCAGCCATGGCATTGATTTTAAACCCTTAAATAGTCTATTTTAGCTTAATACTATTATTCATAAAGTAATGATATCGATATGCAGAATTTGAATTTGATTTAAATATCACAAAGGGGTCCATTTAATGATTTAGGTTAAGACAGTTCAGTTCTACAATTCTGTTCATCATATCAGAAGCGGTTTATAACAATAACAGAATCCTGTGACTTTTGGGACTTATCAAACCAATCTTTAAACTCAGATGTTCTCCTAGAGATTCTTTCCTGCCCATCACTGCTGTGAAAGCTTAAAGCTGCATGCCCTGGCTACGTTAAATGATTGATTAATACCCCTTTCACACCAACGGTGTTTCAGGGCCGGTTCGGTGCTGGTGCTTGAAAAGCACTGGGTTTTCCTGTTCACACCGCAGCGGAGCAGCGTCATAGCTCCGGAATCCGGTTCGTTTCGAGCACCAAAAAGTTGTCCGTCTAGAAGCAAGAACCGCATACGTCACGCTTACGTCGGAGGGGGGCGAGATTAACCTGAGCTAACACTTAAGGCGAGTACGGCAAATACAAGTTGTAACAAGCAGTAGTGCTGAGCAAAGTGACTAGAACGCAACCACACACTTGTTAAAAAAAACACACTTTATAAAGTCAGGCAACACTAACCAGGCTTCGTGTGATTCTGTTTACTTTGACCATCCGTTCGCTGTTATTGATCATTGTGGAGAGCAGGCAGACGTTTTGTTTGTTATTATAGCAGCTATCGGATGGAATCAATACATGGGCTGCACAGGTTGTCATGTCCGACTATCACAAGTAGAATCATAATGAAAAATACGTCGGTAAAAAGTGCCTGTAGAAAACTGCTTAGCAAGTAGTCAGTTTAGCTTCGGTTGCTATGCTAACATCACCCATGTTATACCAGAGAAACTTTCATAACAGCGTTGTGATGCCAAACAGCGTCAATTCAGACTGACACCAAACAGCGTCAATTCAGACTGACACACATTCACTTAAGGGGAACTGGGGATATGTATCAGCTGCTTGTGTGACAGTCAGACAGTGAATACTTTAGAGCCGTGTGAGCTAACCCGGAGCTAACGGGAGAATACACTCCCGTTGAAGAGCAGCCGGCCAGCACTGCAGCGGTCGGTAAATGCCGCTGAAACACATTAATAAACAATGAACCACGGCACTCTGGAGAAAAGTATAAGGTTGGAGAAGTCGTTATTTAATTTAATCTGGCTTCGTATGATTAAAAGCAACGCAGTCCCCCGGCCCGTTGTTGTGAGGTGAGCTCCGGCGTTGGGGAGAAACTCAGCGACGTAAACTGTGACGTCATGACGCAGCAGCGGCAGCACGAGTCGGGCTCTGAGCGGTGTGAAAAGAGCCGGCGCTAAACCGAAGAACCGGTTCTGAACCAGAAAAGCTCTAGCACGGAGCTTGAACCGGAGTTGCGTTGGTGTGAAAGGGGCAAAAGAGTGAGAGAGACCTGCCGAAGATCGGAAGGTTGTGAGTTCAAATCCCGCCTGGAACATCACCACTAGTGTGCCCTTAAGTAAGGCACTTAGCCCTTAGTTACTCCAGGGAAAATGTCCCAGTAATTGTACGTCGCTTTTGATAAAAGCGTCAGCTAAATGAAATGTAATGTAATGTAACTGTCAACATGCAGTCTCGCGCCTTGGAAATCAAACCAACAGAGGAGTTCTAGGGTCATTGTGGCAAAGATAGGTAGACTACTATGTGGAGCATTTTACAACAACAACAACAACAACAACAACAACAACAAATATAACAATATATATGCCGTTTTACAAGTATTTGCTGTGCGTTATATAGGCAGATTGAACTTTTCTTTCTAGAATTGAAAATCTGAGCAAATGATATGTCTGTATTTGTGAAGCAAAAGTCAGAACATTGCAGTGAATCAAAGAAATTGTGGAACATGAAGGAGACAAAGGTATAAAGAGGAAATGAGGGACAAATGAGTGAATGTGTTAGGTGGGTTAGCTGTGTCGTTGTTTGTCATGACCTTTCTTAAATAGCTGCTGGCATGTACAGAGGTCAGGGAAAAGGACCTCACAGACCATCTATATATGGCTGCCCCACCCCCTGTAACTGTTTACTCTCAGAAGATTAGATGATTTTAAGGCAGCTTAAAAGTGTGTTTTTGCTGGTACCTCAGATAGTTTGGATTGTTAGGTTCAAAGTTTATTTATATAGCCCAATACCACACATTTTACATTTGTCTCAGTGGAATTTACAGTTTGTACAGACTATGAATATGACACCCTCTCTCCTTGGACCCTCAGATCGGACAAGGAAAAACTTCCAAAGAAACCCCCCAGTTAATGGGGAAAAATAAAGAATCCTCGGGTAGAGAAACAGAAAGGGATCTGTCCCAGGACGGAGTGACGTGCAATAGATGCCGTGTGTAAATTGAAAAGTTAATACATTTACAACATAGGTAGTCCAAATGCTGGAGAATGCATGTGTCTATAATAAGAAGATGAATCCAGGAGGATGTCAACAATCCTGTGGGAGCCATCAGGGAAGTAGTATGATGAGAGTCAGGCAGGACCACAGTGACAGGTTCAGCCACGACTCAGGATCCAGGACTCAGGCTCCAGGACTCAGGATCCAGGACTCAGGAACCAGGACTCAGGATCCAGGACTCAGGATCAAGGACTCAGGATCCAGGACTCAGGATCAAGGACTCAGGATCCAGGACTCAGGATCCAGAACTCAGGATCCAGAACTCAGGATCCAGGACTCAGGATCCAGGACTCAGGATCCAGGACTCAGGATCTAGGACTCAGGACCACAGCAACAGGATCAGCCACGACTCAGGATCCCGGCGTAGATAGACACCAAAAATACATTTTGGGAATAGCTGGGTTATTGGGAACATGAGAGTACACAGGTACAGACAGACAGAAGGAAGAAGTAAGGTGTCCCCCGACAGTCTAAGCCTATAGCAGC